ACGCCTGGGGTGTGGAGGGACGAGCCTCTCTCCTCAGCTGTGGGAAATCTATGGCAGAAGCTGCGCCACGTGGCGTCCATCCGCACGTGCCAGCTCATCATGCTGCAGGGCGTTGTCAGCCAGGCTCCGTGGAGCGCGCTGCTCTTCCTGTCCATGTGGCTTGAGCTCATTGGCTTTGACCCATCGCGGGCAGCAGAGCTGGTGGGTGGGGTTGTGTGAGTGCGTGCATGTGGGTGCGCATACTTGAGTGTGTTTGGCTTTGCCGGTGCGCGCGTGTGTGTCATGTGAAGTTATGCTGCAGTTTCCTCATATGCTCCAGTGCCTTGCACCTCCAACCAACCCAATGTACCCTCCCCTCCACCCAATGTACCCTCCTCTCCACCCAATGTACCCCCGCGCAGTGCCACCCACCAGCACATGCCTCTCACCAAATCTCTGCCCTCCCACTCTCCCACCCCACCTCCACCCCACATTCCCCCAACACCCCTGCACCCACTCCCCAGGTATCCCTCCTCTCTCTGGGCTTTCTCCTGGGCTCTCTCACATCCGGATGGGTGGGTGACAGAGCATCACAGCACATCCCGCACGTGGGCCTGGGGCGCATTCTATGTGCCAACATCAGCACTGGCGCTGTCGTGCTGCTCTCTGCACTGCTCCTCAACGTCTTTCCTCCCTCGCCTGCTGAAGCTGCCGCTTCTGCGGGTGCTGCTGCGCTGTCTGCTTCCTCTGGTTACTCTGCCTCCTCCTCTGTCTCCTCCTGGGGATTTCTGGTTCTGTGGGAATCAGCACCGCACGCCCTGCTCTTTTGCCTGATTGGATTCGCAGCCTCCTGGCCACTTCCCTCCTGCAACCTTCCCATGCTCTCAGAGGTGAGGCAGCCGCATCTTGACTTTGAGTTGACTATTGCTAATGCGTTTTTTTTTTAAATCACGAGAAATGTCTGTAGGTGAAGCAGCTGAGCCTGCTTGTGAGAATCGTGAGGCGGCGTTCTATACGATTTTCAATGGTGAGGTGAGTGAGGGAGCTGAATTGTGCGGTGACTTTTGACTCGACTCAAAAGGCAGCTGATTAGGTTGGGAACGGCATGGCTGAGCACAAGGTATAGCACAGCCCAGTTTGTTGCCATCCAGGCATTGCTGGTTATCAATATAGTCGATATAGTCACATGCACAGGCACCTGTACACGCACCTGCACAAGCACAACACGTTGTGTTCCTTTGTCCTCTATCAGACGAATTTCTTATCAGACGAACCTTTAATCAGATTCAGGTTCGCCTCGTACCGTCCTGAACCGCATTGAACCACCTCATGTTTGGCCGATACAGCAGTGCATGTCTGATACGAGGTGCATATGAAAAGAGGTCGTGGAAACTACTTTGCACACCGCCCGGAACCCTCCCTCCCCCCTCCTCTCCCACCCTCCCCCCCCCGAAGTGGTGCCCTCTAGCCTGCGCGCCACAGCCTATGCAGCAGACATGACTCACTGGCACCTGTCAGCCGCGTTTGGAGGGCCAGCAGTGGGGCTGGCTGGCAGCGTTTTAAGGTGCCAAAGGTGTGCCTAGAAAACACGATCCCCCTTCTTCCCCCTCCTGCCCTCTCCTTCCCTCAATAGGTGGTGCCCTCTCGCCTGCGCACCACAGCCTATGCAGCAGACATGGCTCTAGGGCGTATGTCAGCTGCATTTGGAGGGCCAGCAGTGGGGCTAGCAGCCATCCACCTGTACGGATTCTCCACTGCTGCTGCTGCCGCCGCCATGGCTGGTCGCTCGGGGGTGGCCTTAGCTGCTGCCACTTCGGCTCTTGAAGCCTCTGGATCCGCATCCGCTGCTGCAGCAGGAGCAGCAGGAGCAGGAGCAGGAGCAGGACTCGCAGCAGCAGCAGCAGCAGCAGCAGCAGCAGCAGGCGGGGTGGAAGCAGGGGAGGTAGGGGCTGGAGAGGGTTTACTGGGAACAGGTGGGGCGGGTTTTACAGGGCTGGCAGCAGCAGCTGTTGCTGCTGCTGCGAATGCAGAGTCGCTTGCCAAGGGCTTGTTTCTGGCGATTGCGGTTCCGTATGCGGTGAATGTGATGCTGATTGCTGCCTGCTTCTGGGCGTATCCCGAGGACCAGAAGCATGCGTCAGTGGCCAACTGGGTGGATGCCTCTAGTGGGGCTGGTGCAAGCAGTGCTGCTCGTGGTGGTGGTGGTGCTGCTGCTGCTGGTGCTGGGTCTGGTGGTGACGCTGATGTGACGAGGATGGAAGGCAGGAAGGCTGGCAAGGCAGGGAAGGGTGAGAAGGCAGACAAGGAGGAACATTTTGAGATCAATGTGCATGACTCGAGTAACTTAGCTGAGCTGGGTATGGGTGGTGGTGGTGATGCTCTGCAAGGGAGGCCAGAGAACAATCAACAACAGCTGGAGATGCAGCAACAGCAGAGGCCACTGGGGAAAATGGCACTTGAGCCTGAGTCAAATGAGACGGAGACAGAATCGAGACCATTATTACGACGTCCCCATGTGTAATCGGAATCCAAAGCTCTAATTTATTATTGCTGTCTGCTGGGATATTGGATGGAGGCTGCAGTTCAATATCACATCATCACTTGAATTACCTAGTGAGAAAAGAGAATGTAATATTTCCAACATGCGTCCAGTTGCTCTCAGCTTCATCCCCTTCCTCCCCTTGCAGAATCAATCTGAGGGCCTGATTGGAGGGGAGCACACACCCCTCCCTTCTTTTTTACAGCATTTCCAAAGCACTTTCAGGTGCTGCCGTAAATACGTGAGAATTTTCATGGTTATGGAATGACTGGAATGCTATTCTTGCTGGTACCCATCTCCTCTCATACCGTAATTGCATGGTTAAAGTAGCATCACTTATGGGGCTTGCTTTTATTTTAACTCCAAATGTAGAGGGGTGGAGAGCAGGGCTCTTGCTAGGATTTAAGCCCGTCTGAAAAGTATATACCAAAAAAATGTTTCGTCTGACGTTCAGACGGGGAATTTTTTCTGGTCTGATTATTAAGACGAAGGAAAAAAACCATGTCTGAAATTTGAGATGAAATAATAGTGCTGTCTGTTTTTGTTTTTTCAAATTTGAATTGTGTACTGTTTTACTTGTATCAGACAGAGCGACACAACCTAAACAGGTTTGGGCTGCGACACGCGAGAGCGGGAATGGGGCAGTGGGGCAGGTGTTGGCCTGCGAGAGACAGGGGAGTGGGGGGCTTGGGTTACGTACGAGACGGACAGGGGGGGAAGGGGCACGAGTGCTGTAGATTTAGGAGATTGTGGGGGGGCGGGGGGGAATTCGAGGTAAGCTGGCTTTGTTGGGCGGCTGGGTAGTGGGGAGGAGCGAGGGAAATCGGGTCTTGGGGGGCTAAAGGCGTGGGGGGTAGGGGGAAGAGGGAAGCACTCGGTACTTTGGTGTCAGACGAAAATGTACGCATTATCTGATTTCTCAGATGAAGTATAACGCCGAGTATGATTTTCCAGACGAAATAAAATTTCTGGTCTTATGGATCAGACGAACTAAAATTTCTTGTCTTCAAAATCAGATGAAATAGAAAAAGTAGGTCTGATTTTCAGACCATCAGACCAATTTGGTCTGATAACAAGGACCCTGGTGGAGAGGTGGGGAAGGGGTAGATGGCGAGGGGGGAATAGAAAATACCGAATTACACCCCCCTTCCCACTATAAACGAACCCGCAACAACACCCCCTTCTCACCCAGCCTTCCACCACCCCATTCATCTAAGCAAGGGGGAGTGGGAGGGAAATGATGGTGAGGACTCCTTACCTTATAAACAGTACAGAAAACACACTGGAAAGGAAACTCTTGGTACGGTAGAACAACCTGGCAATTGTAAGAAAGCTAACCTCAATAGACAATGATCCATCATATTAGAAGAAGAGAGTATAGAGACCCATGCTCATACAACAGACAGCAACCCATGGGCTGAGTCTTTCCCCTGCGAACAAAAAAGAATTAACAATCACGAGGAGGATGGGAGAGGTTGAAACAGGAGATGGCAGAATCAATCATTGCACAGAAAAAAAATGAAAAGGAATTCTCTGTTGTATTGAAGTACGGTGGAAATTGTTTGCCGAACGTGCAGGCGGTTTAAGACATCAGTGAACCAGACATGTATTCTCACCTATTCTTGCTGCTTTCCAAAAAAATCCGCGGAACCTGCATGTTGAATTAGTGACACAAAGAGTCCTTTAGAAGATTACTTTGCGGCACAAACCAGCTAGAAGTGACAAGCAGGTTGCAATGATGAAATGCGACTTCTAGCTGCTCAAACGAGGAATTGCACGCAACGATTAAGAGGAAGCTAACCCTGTTTTTTGTTGCAGCAAGTTTGGGAAATGAATCTTCACGTAAGTGCAAGTGCAAATGACCAGCAGCACCACGGAGAGAAAAGCTTGAAAGTCGAAGAGCGCGGACTGCAAGATTACGGGACGGAGGGAAGCAAGGAAGAGGTAAAGGCAGGAAAGTGTGAGCAACTGACTAATTAACTGGAAAGGTGTCAGGTGTTTACAATAGCCAGGAAACAGCCGCGCAAGGTTACCAAACGTAGAGAGCAAACCAATTCGTGTGCACTGCCCTGATCGTTCAGTGGAAAATGAGGTTTGGAAAGGAGACCGACTGGATGGAAGCACATAAAAACAAATCGTACCGCTAAATCGACAGCCTACCAACCGCCAACTCACAGCAGCTAAGGTGCACTCCATTAGTCATGACTCACCATAGCGGCTTGATGGAACGGACCTCGAAGGTTGCGGGAAAGAGCTCCAGCAACTGACGATCAACTGACGATCTCTACGGAAGCTCAACCTCACACGCTTCAAGTAGCTGAAACGGCTAACGTAATTAGGTAAGCGAATCCGGTAATCCCTAATCTGGAATTAGCAAGTAATAACCTGCTTTGGCGGAGGGAAGTAACAGTCACGAGTACGTTATCTGTTCTAAAAATGCGTTGCCGCGGATCTCATTCCTTCCTGTCAGAAGCAATTTCACGCAAGACGTCAGGACCTGGTAAATGGATGGCTTCAACGTCCCCGTATCTTTTCAACATCCACGGACCTTGGGAATACATCAGTCGCGGCTGTGTGAATCGGCAAGAGCTGATAAGCATTTTTGACATAATTACATTCCACACCTTTATACATATTATTGGTGTAGCTCATTTTCCACAAGTATAACAGCACTCTTGGGCCCATTATGTGCAGGGTTTGTAGATTGTTTCCAAAATGTGTGAAGCAGCAAATGTACATCTGAAGTCAAACTTACTAAATGTGACACATGGCAGTTAATGAGCTGAAGTAAGAAGCTGTCTATGATCCAAAGTAGTGTACCAACCAAGCACCATCAGGCTAACGCATGGCTGCTTGTGATGAGTCAAGCAGAAGGCAGATGGCAGACCAGCCAGAGTGTCCCATCTTTCATCATGCATGCATATCTAAGCCTGCAAGTGCATTTGCTTATAAACCTTCCACTTCCCATGTTCCTCTCAACACTTCAGACATCACACCAAAAGTCCACCAGTCCCAGGCCACAAATTGCTCCAAGAGCATGGCTTCAAGGGAAAAAAACGATTCACCAGCATATGTCAGGAGAAGAGGCCCTGGACTTGATGCTTCTGGCCCGCAACAGACTGGTCCTCTCTGCTCATAGGCATCTTCATTTTATTTCTTTTCAAGATCGGTGGAGGTTAAGGCATCCCCTGCGCCATTCTCCGATCCCCTGCCAGAAACCAGAGCCTTGGTACTCGACGCTTCCTCATAAGCTGCAACCCAGGAGGAGAAAAACACACATGGGTAAGAAGAATAAGAGGGATGTGACACAGAACCAGATGGCAAAAACATGGAAGACAGGTTGGGAAAGTATGGGGGAAAGGAGGGGGGCAGGGGGGTTAAAAGACGAAAACTGCACCGAGCAGGCAAACAGTCTCTACCAAAGCCCGACAGCACACCCCTTCCAACCAATCCCCATAACACAAGCAACACCCATCCCCTGCCCCCCTGCCACCCTGTCCCCATCACCTACCGCCATCCTCCTCCACAGCAGCAGCAGGGGCCCCGGAAGCCCCGGCAGCGGAACCAGAGTGTGCCATGGAGCCCTGGCGGCTGGTGCTGGCACGGGACTTCTTGCGGCGCAGACGCATCCAGCGCGGGGGCTTGATGTGCTGCATAAAGTCCAGCATGGGGGTCTGCGCCACCGGGATGAACTTGCCCAGGAATGCCAGCGGCCAACTGCAGCGCGGTGGGGCGAGGTGGTGGTGGAGTGGAAAGAGGTGAGGAGGAGTTTAGTGTGGTGAGGCGAGGATGAGAGCAGGAGGAATCACTGGGTGCAGTGAGTGGCAAGGGGGTGGTGGGCAGCAGGGACAGAATGAGTCCTGAGACTGGCAGCAAGAATGGGAGGAATGATTGACACTGATGATAAGAGCATGGAGAGAGAGAGAGAGAGAGAGAGAGAGAGAGAGAGAGAGAGAGAGAGAGAGAGAGAGAGAGAGAGAGAGAGGAGAGGGAAGGAGGGGGGGGGGGGGAGGGGGGAGAGGCAGGGAGTAGGTGACCTGATGAAGCCAATGCCAACACAGATGAACCACTGGGGCACGGTGAGGGAGGTTGTCTTGGCGAAGTTGTGAAGCAGCTCCACTATAATGATCTGCACCGGGGGAAGGGGGGATGGGGGTAGGGGGAAGGGAGAAAGAGGGGGAGGGGGGAAGGTGGGAAGGTGGGAAGGGGGAAAAGGGAGAAAGGGGCAAAGGGGGAAGGGAGGATGGGGGAAGGGTGCCGAGGAGGGGCGGAAAAAAAATAGAGGTAAGGAAGGGAGGAAGTCGATAGGAGAATAGTGTAAGTATAAGTAAAATGCCTCGTGCAGGAAAGGACAGTGGTAAGGGATAACACACGAGCAAAAACACGGCTGTATGCAAGCATGCATGAGACAGTGCATGTCATGCCACATGCTCATGGACGTGCATGGCAATGCGGATGTGCATGTGCAATTAACTTGTGCTCGTGTGGTGCTCGTGTAGGCACAGCAGCAGTGAGAGAGGAAGCGCGTGGATGCTCACTTGGAAGCCCAAGCTGACGACGAGCACGAGGATGAAGAGCGGATTCTTGTGCAGCCCATCAAAGATGTTGAACTTGTCTGGCTTGCGCGCATTCACCTCGTTGAACAACTGCTCTCACATGCACACGGTCACACATGCACATGGTTGCACACACACGGTCGCACACACACGGTCACACACACACGGTCACATGCACACAGTCACACGCACACAGTCGCACGCACAAAGAAAAGGGAGGGGGTGGGGGGAGGGAGGGAGGACGGAAACGAGATGCCTCAAGTGGCAGGAACAGCAGCGCACAACACACACCAGCACACAGCAGTGCATAGGTGGGGGAGGAACAGGAACCACAGACAGATCCGTCCACTGGAGTAAGCTAACATGGGGAGTAAGCTAACATGATGGAAACATGCTTTGAGGACCCTTCAAGCACAGGAGTAAATG